AGGAATGCCTCCAGGTGGGTTTTAAAAGCCTTCAGCGAAAGCTTCTTTGCCAGGTAGTATGTACCTCCTCCTCCTACTGGGCACTAAAGCTAAGGCCAGAAATAAAATATCTGGCATCTGAACAAGCAGCAGGGACTGGAATCCCACATCATGTTCTCTGGTCTGTCACTCACCAAGACAGTGGACTTAGGCAGGCTCAGAGAAGAGCCACAGAAGTCTCATAGCAAAAACGTTCAGGAGCTCAGTCTGTCTTAACTGAGAGAAAATGAAGGGGAGACTACAACAGTTAAGTAGCTGTGAGTAGAGGAGCAACAGTTCCAAGTGCTCTTCCATATATCTGACAAAGGTAGAACAAGATGTAGTGGGACAAAGTTGAGTGAGTCAAGTGAGGTGTGCATTCAAAAAAGCATCGGTAACTGTAACAGAGGAACAGTCTGCGGTGAACATTCTGTCCCTGTCTAGAAACCCCACACTGGATGTTTTCCTGACAGAGCAATTCTGGCCAAAGCAAGATTAAACACAGTGAGATCATCTGAAGTGACCCACACAGGACTGCACGTTACCCAGCACAACTGTGGCTCCAGACTCCAAGGGGAGACTTTAGAAGTTGCTGCGCTGAGTTGCAAAGGGAAGGTTCCACAGCAAAAACATCTGGGGCAGGACTGCAGGTTACCCAGCACAACTGTGGTTCCAGACTCCAATGGGAGACTTAAGAAGTTGCTGCGCTGAGTTGCAAATGGAAGGTTCCACAGCAAAAACATCTGGGAAGTGAAAAGGTTTCCAAATCCTTCATACCTGACAAAAAACTCCTCACTGGGCATCAAGACACACAACACTGTGTGGGTTTGGAGGAAGCCTGTGTGGGCTCCCAGGTCAACAACCCACTTGCAGTGGAGAACACAGGTACAGAGGCAATGGGAACAACCACTGCACTGGTGTATGGTCCCAGCAACCCACACAGCCAGCAGCAACGTCCTGCAGCATCCAAGTCCCACGCGAGGAGCAACCAATGTGACATTAATATAACACTGAACGGGGACCAAAAGCAGTCAGCTGATGGAGATCATTCTCCTTCCTGCATCCTGGTCCTGGAACTTACAGAAAAGAATAAATGCTTCCTTTCTGCAGACACACCTTCGGCCTTTGCACAATTCCCAGAGTTTTCCTCAAAAATTTGCTCGGTGTAAGAGGAAGGTTTGCAGGAGTGTCAGGGTTAAATTGTGAGAACAAGGAAATCCACTGTCACACCTGACAGAGACCTGCAGCGTGAGGCAGTGCCCGTGGCAGCGTGACAGGGCAACAACAAGGTCCTGTCCCCAAGGGCACCGCTGTCCCCAGGGCCGCTCCGCCACACGCTGCCGCCATGCCCTCCAGCGTCCCGACCACCCCGTGCCCACTGCAGCAGCCACACAGCCCTGGCTGAGACCCAGGTATTCTGCACAGGTGCTCCCACCCAGCACGCCAGGACCTCCTTACCGACTCCTCCTCCTCCTCGTCGTCCTCAAAGAAATCGGTTTCGTCTGTCTTCATGTTTGATCCCAGAAAGTCTGTCTCATCATCCCGGGAACCAACAACAAACCTGGGGGTGGAGCTCTCTCCCTCACTGGAGGTCGTCAGGGACGACATTGCAGCTTCGGTGGCCGACCATCCCGCTCTGCAATCACAGTGTGCAAAAAGGGAGAGGGAAGGTCAGGAGCGGGGCGAGCCGGGGACAGCTGCACGGCGGTGACAGTGGAGAGGGCAAGGGCTGATCTGGCATCGGTGAGCCCAGGGACACGCCGCCCAGAGCAGGAGGAGGGAGCAGGAAGAAACCCTGGGGGTGGGAGGGGACCCATGACTCGGGGATTCAGAATGGCTTTAGGCAGGCAGCTCCACTGTGCAGCCAAGCCCTCTGCCCCGCTGGGGAAGGGGCAGTGCCACCGCCAGCGCTGAGGTCCCATGAACCTACAGTGATGCATGCTCCGAGCCGCTGCCTAAACCACGGAAGGGGACGGTGGGCACCCCCGCAGGATCCTACACCCAAAGGCATCGACTGGGAGTCCAGAAGTCAGGATGAAGCTTAGGACGGTGACGGTGACTTTCCAATCGCCAGTTTTCATCCTCTCAGCTCAAGACGACCTACAGTGACAGAGAGAGCCGTCTGAGAGGCACACGAGTCTGCAGGGAGAAGGAAAATGAAGAAGTAACAACTCTTTGGCAGGAAAAGAGGACACAGAGGAAGCACCAGCAACAGTTTGGGTTTCAGATCAGGGCTTCTGGGTTTGTACGCTGGCTCAGACTTACTCGGCGACCATGGAAGCTGATTATCAGGATACAAGCCATGCTTTACAAATGACGTGCCTTGCACTGTCACCTGCAGGAGCAGCACTGCCAGCCGAGCAGGTGGCAGTCTGAACACAGGCTACACGCCCCCTGCACACGCCAAGGACACAGCCGCTCACCTCTGACCGCAGCTGCACGCACATCAATGCCAAGCACTTGCCCTCTGCTGTGTCCTCCCCATCTACAACGTGGTGAAAAGCATTCCTCCCACATAAGTAAGCGCAACCTTGAGAAGAGGATGTTGTCAACACCTCATGTTACTGAGCAGTGCCTAAAAATGGACATGAGACATGCTCTCACATGATTTCCAGCATTCCCAGACAGAAAGTTACTGTATTTCCTCCTCTTTTGAGCATGCTTTCCCTCACAGCCAGGACACCGAGGGAGACTCCACGGCCACATCCCGCTGTCGGTTCCCAGTGCCTGGCAGCTGGACAGCACGC